TATTATTAGGGGGGGTTTATTAATATGAGGAAGAGATTACTCCCGTACATACCCTGCTTTAAGGAGTTTAGACTATAGCCCAAATGCCATCTTCGCGGCTGCGGAGCTCCAGGCTGAGCTCTTCCACAAACTACAGAAGCTACAGGGATTATAGGGGTTATATAGGGGTAATATTGGGATAATGGAAAACAAAATGTAAACCACTGTAGTATATTGGGATTTTATAGGGGTATTATTGGGATAATGGAAAAAAATGTGACCCTGTCAAAGGCCCAAGGCCTCCCCCAAAACCCTCATACCTGCTTTTCAGCTGTATGGTTACGTAAACTTTTTTCAAAACGCTTACAAGAGCACCACAGGTCTTCCGTGAGATCGTTTGCTGGGTAGACGCCTGCTATGTAAAAGGTCACTTATTTGCAGTTCTAGGCCATAGTGTCCGCTTGTTCATCATTCAGCAACAAGAGCTAGCTGGAGGTTCAAGACTGCCCTGACCGGCATCTACGTGCGCAGCCAGGAGCATTTCGGCGCCAGATGTTTCCCGAAATTGCATGAAATCCTACTCTGCCAGTCTGCTAAGAATCAGGTTCTGCTGCAATGAGCCACAAGGCACAGCAAGAACACTGCTCATCATGGTTTCCCGTAATTAGAGGGTATGGCTGTTGGTTTTCGGCAACAATGGCCTGACGAGGAAGTATGCTGTCTTCTGGAAGGTAAGTAGACCACTTACAACATCTACTCTGGGGCCTATAGGGAGCAGAAGCCCGGAAAACAGTTCTGGTCAGCAAGAGTTTTGGATGCCTCGCCACCCACGCTTCAAATCCAGTAGAGATGTTGTGACAATTATGAGCCTCCCTTTGGGTCCCCATTCTAATGTGGCGCCCTGGTACCTGGGGTAACCCCGCAAGGGACTAGAATTTTGATAACCGACCATATGAACCCTCATCCCTATTAACCACCATATAGATTCAGTTTCCATCTGATTGTCCATCTGATTTTCCATTTTATTGTCATGTGAAAATGACTAGCGCATGCAGCCTTCAAGAAGATCTCAGGGGCGGCGGAACCGACAAGAGCTCCAATGGCCACCGCTACGACAGCATGGCCTTTGCCAATGGCATTATCCAGGCTTCAATGTTATCTGGGAATTTCCACAGGTTCAGGTTTTTTTGGAGTCCCCATGATGAGGATCGTGCTGTGTTATTTGGGGGTTACATCTTCGGGATCCCCTATTTAGGAAACTGCGATCTGAAGCTTCAGGATTTGCTGGATCCATGTTTCACGTGGCCCCAAAGGGACTGTCACGATGCCAGGTATCATGCTTTCCGCATAGGGATGCCACTTGAGCTAATAACACTCAGTTAGCTTTCGGTGCTGCCCCCACTCCGTAACAATTGGATCATATTCGTAATATAGTTATGTATAGCCTTATAATATGACCCCTAATATAGATTGCTACAGGCTGGGGGAATTACCCAAGGTTAACTGTCTACTCAAGCACTGTATAACAGCCCTCGAATTTGTGCTGGCCGCGCCCTCCCCCACACCCACAAAAACATGCTTGTGCGTGTGCGAGGCTGGTATGAGCTGCCAGCTGATCAACTACGTGCATCAGGCTTCACAATCCCCGGCTACGAGTTATCGATAACTAGGGGGTATCACTTCTTGCAGAGCTTCCTATCTTTGGCCTTTGGGTTATACCTAGGAGTGGTCTGGATTGCACAGATCCCTGGAGTTGCTTATGGTCCAGACTGATTAGATTCTCCAATGGAGAAGAAAGCGGAAACTGCAATGTCTTTTGCGGTTTTCGGGCTACATAGGGTCGTGCTTGAGGGCCGATGCCGAGGTTGTATAGGAAGTGATTTTGCCGAAATTTAGTCGGACAGGGGTGGTCCTTTTGGTAGTTCAGTATAGTACCTGGACCTACTGCCGTATTTTGCCTAATAGGAACCCTATGAGTTATCTGCGAAAAATTGACTGTACATTCCAGAGTTCCTGACATACTTCGTGCAGGAGCATGACAAGTTCTTCGATGTGGTGAAGAACTTTGATGCCATCGTGGTTCGATGTAATCCTGGACTGGCAAGCGGATCACTAGGTAGGTGTTGAAACGCGGCCTGACTGTAAAACACTCCCATACTGCGGAGAAAAGGAATTGTAGGGGACCCATGGACTGGGGCACCCAGAAATTCAATGTGGGTTTATAGGCTTGAAGGGTTAGCACTGGTTCCTGGAGACGTGTCGCAGTCGCGATTCTGAAAGCCAATACCTGTTTTTCTCAGATAGTGAGCAGCATGCTGCTGTTTGGTACGATTGTTGAGGTGTTGATCCAAAAGGCCTTGTAGAGTTGTAGACACATGCTGCCAGCATACCAGGGTAGATTTCACAACTTCACATGGAACACGCTAGAAAGCCCAGCCGCTTTGGGATTTAACGGTCTTACTGTGATTTCGTGGTTTCTCCGACTCTGAGTGCTCTTGTATCATCCTAGATGTGAGGGCTTCCATAAATAGAGCCCGCAGTATAGAGACCCATATCTAGACCTTCCAATACATCGGGGACCCAAAAATGTACCGCCATATACAATCTGACTATGGGCACCCCCAAAAGAGACCCCTAATTTTGGAAACCCACGTCTACTACAATCATTTGTGGAACAGCCCCATGTGAGGTCCAAGTTGCATGCAAGGGCTCTACCTAGATTGAGATGCCCTACAGTTGATGCCAGATATGGGTTTCCCAAAAGTTGGTTTCCCTTTTTGGAGCCTCTAAAATAAAAATTGTGGTATTTTGGGGTCTATATTGGGTCTCGCTGCTGTGGTTGGCGGAAAATTCGTCGCACCGGGACATCTTCTCTTCCCCCTTTGACTGCATCAGCACAAAGCCTCAAGTCCTCAGTCCAGGAACACTTAAAATTGAGCATTGCGATTTTTTTCCCGGTGATGTAGTCATGAAACCCCACAAAGACAGTGTGGCCCCAAGTACCCGGAAAATTGCGGCGGCCGACTTTTTCTATGAACCATATTATGTGCCAGCTACAGGCCGATACTGCATGTGGGAAAGGCTTTGATAATAACTTTACTGAGTAAGTCAACGGAGCCGGAAGTGGCCAGGACAGATCAAGGCCGACGGTGGTGACCAGGGTAAGTTCGACAATGGCATGCGTGCCATCCGCAAGAAGGGAATCCAGGCGCGCCTTGTTCTGGTTGCGTTGATACAGAGGCACGCATATCGCATGGGGATTATGAGGGTTTTGGCCTTCTACATGATTCGCAGGGAGCAGTTCAGGCATATTTCTTCGCACCAAGTCCTTGAAGTTTTCAGGTATTGTGGACCATTCTTTCTACAAAACGTTTCCTGTTCGGATGGCGCTCAATCCAAGCTGTCCTGTGCCCTTGCGAGCGTGTTTGAATTTATGTTGTTATAGTGTATATTGATTGTCCGGATAACACAAGTGTTTCGTCATATTCCTACCTAACCTTGAATGACTTTGGGGATTAGAGGGTTGCAGGTGTTGCTGGGAATTTTTGCTCAGATATTGCCCGAGTCCACTACGGAATCTTGCTTTCGCTTTGACCCCCTGCGGTATCACTTGCTCATAATTTGAAAGTCTTCGCCATTCTGCCAGGTGTGGCCGGCACCTGACGTCATGGAGTTCATGGGTGCCAAGGAGCGGTGCTAAACATGAGGAACAGTTGGCAGCTTCCTAAACCTAATCAGTTGATGTTGTGATGGCTCCGCATAGTAGAAATGCCTAGTTATGTGATGAGGAGCATGGGCCTGCCACTTCACGCTTTCTACCTGTTCCTAAGCCTTAAGCCTTGAAACATCTTGAAACCCTGAAACCTTAAACCCCCCCAAACCCTAAACCGCTTCGGTATTGAGAGTAGTTTGGCGTCGGCCTGCCATAGGCCAATGCTTTGCTAAAGCCATTGGGCTTAGGGTTTAAGGTTAGGAGTTTAGGGTTTAGAGATATCAGGTCCCAATGCTTGATGAACTTGGGGGCTCCCTCATGGAGATCTGAAACACTCAGCCTAGTACGGCTGTGGGGTGTCCTTCTGTTTGGGTAACGGTATGCTGAGAGATCCTGTTTCCCAATCAGGCCATCTTTCAGGTAGATTGAAGCTTGGGTTTAGGGTTTAGGGCTTAGGGTTGAGGTTAGTAGATTCTCATGGTCACCCTATAATTAGGAGAACCTCTAAAAAACCGGTGGGTTCTCTTCTACATTCCCTTCTACGGGTTCTTCTTAAAGGGTTCTGTCCTGGTTGGGGGAGGCGCTGACGAATGAACGCTAAACCTTAAATCCCCTTAACTCCTTAAGCCCATCGATCCTTACATATGTTGATAATTTTTGTTCATTCTGGGAATCTAAAAAACCTCACGGCTCTTGGGGCCAACTGGAAGGATGCGCTCTGCAAGATCGCCACCCTGAACATCGGGCTTGAGGAGAATTTGTGTTGCCTTGGGAATTTGTGTCTATAGTCGATACTTACTTGTGGCCTTACACCCTAGAAACAATACCTACTTGGGTTCCTAAGGTCCCTAAACAGTACCAACATCGCTGTTTGGTTCCTGTGGGTTGGACGTGTCGGGCTTTTGTGGGTCAATCTTGAAAACGCGTTTCAATGTCCCTTTTGGAGGGACGCCCTATGCAGCGTCTTGCCAGCTTGTCAGATTGTCACATGACATTTTATTGTGAATAAACTACACACGGCGCTTTTCAGCAGATTCTTGCACGTGTATTGCGCCAAGAAGTCTCCTAATGATTAAGGAGGCAGTTTTGTTAGTAACCCCTATATAACCCCAATATAACCCCTATATTACCCCACATAACCCGATAATATGGTTAATTTCCATGTTATTTTCCATTACCCTTTTTTATATAACCCCTATATAACTTACGACAGAATTCAGGAATTCCCAGAACCGCGCATTAGGGGCTTCCCAAAACTAGTGATGTTATATCCCAAGAGTAGAGAATCAAATGGGAAAGAACATGGAACATGAAATGGAAACTAGGATTTTTGGGTTAGGGTTTCATTGGATCTTTCTTTAAGCCTATGGAAGGGTGTAAGGCTTGCAGTGTACGAATTACAGTTTTCAAGCACTCATGCTTCTGCGTTGAGCTATTCAGTTGGAAGGCTGAAGCCCACGTACCATCCAAGGTTCCTCCATTCCTGAATGCCCCAAACATGCAACCGGCAGCAGGGCTCTAAGATAGCACTTTGAAACACTTTGAATCGGTGCACATGCGTCCGGTAGGAGGACGCGTGTACTGTATCATCCTGAATTGTACAGTAGCTGTGTCCTCACGCAGGAGCCTGGTTAAAACACATATGGGAGTTTCCAAAGAATCAGTGTCCTTTGTGGGGAGGTTCCTATAAGAAGGCTTAGGGCTTCTTGGAGTCCATATTATGGGCCCCCTGTTTTAGGAAACCCCCATGAATCCCATGAACCCTAAGGGTGACAGTAACGGCCCATGATCCGAAGGGGGGTCATGAAGGCGAAGAGCTTGAGCCATTTAGCACCCTCAGACATCCACCATGTAGGTAGTTTCCAAAATTAGGGTCCCATATTGGTACCCCTGAAAATTAGGTGCCGCCATATAATGTATAACCAAAAGGGGCCACACCATGTGCAAAACCTACTTGAAAGCTCATCCCTGCCCTTCCTGGAAAGCTCGGCCCTACGTCGCAGTGCAAGATGTCCAGAGGATACGCTTGCCTACTACGACGCGGCGGTGTTTGCTGAAGGCCTCTGACCACGGTGCTGTAGCACGTCGGTTTGGAAATCAGAGAGGGAGATGCAAAGAGTCCAGGTACAGGGTTTAGGGCGTAGTTTTCTATAGGGAATAACGGAAAATCAGATGGAGAAGAAAATGGGATATGAAATTGACACTGGGATTATATGGGGATCCATGGGCTTGAAAATGTAGGGAAGCCGAAATAACTACATATAACTGCCAGTATCTTGTCAACATTAATTGCGGTGAATTGGAATGACATAGGCCATATCTGCCATTGCTAAAGGCCACCATCAAATTCTCCCCAAAGTGAGTAGAACTTGAGGTCCACTCACAATAGTCCGCCTGAGAAACAAGGAGATTACCTTAATTCAGTGCATGCATACCTATATGCCTGGGGTCCCTAAGGGCCTCCCATTCTGGAGAAGCTACCATATCGGGGTTCCACTCTTTCCGCCGCAAATGTTAGGTGCCGTACTGTACTTGGTACCTGCAGGGGGACCCACAATTTTGAGAGCAGCACATATGCATACTCCCCTCTTAGATTCTTAGATGTAAGGTGCCATGCACTATAATGTTAAAACCTACTAGACAGCATCGTCGACGCAGGTTTCAAGACTAAGACTAATAGTATTAACAAAAGGAATAATAATAGTAATCATATTAACAGCAGTAATAGTAATATTAATACTAGTACTGGACATAGTATTAGTAAGCATAGTCATAATAGAGTTAATGATTTTAGTAGTAGCAGCGGTAGTAGTAATAGTAATAACAATAGCAATAATAGTATGCGGTGGCGGCAGGTTTCAAGAAGACCATGGCTTTCCAGCCACGTGTCATCAAGCAGCAGCTTGGCTGATCTTGGCCATTTGCATTCATCCCAAATGATCGCGCCAAACTCCAGATGAGTAGCATGTCCTGTTTTCTCTTACGGATTTTTGTCCCTCAACCCTAAACCTGGTGAAGCTACCAAGAAGCATTCTTCAGTTGATGCTTGGCCCATATAGAGTTCCATGAGGATCCGGCAATGCCTGCAGCACTTTGCATAATTAGGGGCGAGCCTTGCGAACGTGCAGAATAGTGTTACCAATTTTACTGTATACTAGCAAGAGAAAGGGTAATAGCAAATGTGGCAATAACAGAATTGATTCATAATGATGGTGATCATAAGACTTTGCTCCAGCCCTGAGTCTCAGGCTGCAAGACTCACCGTCCAAGCATCCGGAATGCCTACCCTACCCTGAGCCTGCAAGAGTCCCCTACCTTCTGCCAGGGCTCTGCACCAACCGCTGAACCGGAAACCCTGAAGTGCGAACTGCAAAAACACAATTTCTTGTCTCTTTGGGTGCCCCCCGTCGTATGGCATGCTCTTTGGCGAGCCCACAAGAAGGTTTGCGAAACTATCCATGCGACCTGGCAAGAAGAAGAATCCCGCATCACATCTGTTAGGAGAGGCTGAGCCCCTATCACATAATTACCCCCTATATACTACCATATGCTACGAACATATTAATATACTCCACAAGCTTTGCTGCTTGTAACTCTAGCTAATTCCCAGGCCATCAAAGTATGGCGTAGGCATTAGCTTCTAGGGCTAGGTTTAGGGTTGGGGCCCCAGCCTGCACAAGCCCTACTGGTGTTGAAATTGAGTACTAAGCTTTTGCAATTGTCGGTTTATCAGAGGGATTAGGATCTCTAGCACGGGGGTTGACATGCTGGTTCAACAGGGCCCTCAAAAATCAGAAGGAGACAAGCGTCATGTGAAATGAGCAGCCAAAGGCCAGTGCACACATGAGCCCTGGACTAAAGCAATACCATGATAGGGGTTGCAATACTCGGGGCTTTAAAGGCGTATCCAAAGGGCCGGATAGATAATTTAGTCCGGAGCTTGCATGGAGATGTCGAGGAACCGCGGGTCCTCTGGCGAAGGCATTTGGATCATCAAGCTCAAATCAGGGGACTACTGTGCCTGGACTTGGCTTAGGGTTTTTGGTTTTGGGTTCCGGGGCAGATGCCAAAGTGACTGCCAAGCCAATAAGCTTGCACCGGGTGTAAACTAAGGGGACCCCCACCCTAACAATAGGGCCCCCAGAAAATTAAGAAGAGGCGTCGCTAATAACGCTCCCACGGGTCTGAGGGCTCTGGGGAATACTTTCAAGGGGATGGTCTGGATTCTTCTAGGGCCCCAAAACAAAGCACATTAAACATGGTTTTCAAACAATGGCCTGAAAAGGAATAAGTGGCTGCCAAGACATATTAAACAAGGTCTCTGCAATAGACCCAGTGCAACAGTATTATATGGAGAATTAAATGGAAAATGATGTGGAAGCTGATTTTACGTAGGGGTGCCGACGGGTAATTTCACATGTTATGGCCCTAGACTCCTTGTAGAATTATGATAGGGTGCCTCAAGTAGACCTCCAATGATGTTGGCAAGTAATCAGACCCTCACTTGTTATCATCCAGGCATACTTCAAACTAGCAAAGCAAACGAATGTAAACCTTGCAACACAGTTGATACCTGTTTTTTGGAGCGTTGTCCGCAATAAAGCTCCTCAGTTGTTCGGGTATGATCATTACAGTTCTGCTAGCTTCTAGTCCTGCTCAAGCATTGCAAGTTTCTAGTTTGCTGTAGTACTGCGAGCTTTCAGGCCTGCTGCAGCAGTCCGAATCTCTAGTCTTTTTGCAGTTCTGCTTCCGCTCATAATTTCCGGCTGCTTTTGGGGAGGGATTTTGTTAATGTGTAGGAGACTTTGTTATTGCGCTTCTGGACTGGAACGTTGTTATTGTAGCTGGGTTTATTGTGGGTAGGTTTACCCTAAGGGGGAACCCAGTAGAGGATCCCGGGAACCCATGACAAGTGGGATCCGGTGGAGTTGGGTATTTCATAGGGCCTCCTGGTTTCCTGTGAGGATGGCATGTCCAGATCGCTGTTATGCGTTGCTTTTGAGGCTTGAGCCCTTGGTTCACATGACTAAAGCATTGCAAGTAATGCAAGCCCTCAAGTGCGTAAGACCTTTGACATCATGTCTTTTACCCCACGATGACTGTCTCCTTCGTGCAACAGCGTGTATGCAAAAGGTGGCAGAGCTTCGACACGCCATCAGTGTTCAGACTCAAGCGCAAAAAGGTCTCGAAAAGACCTATAGGGTCTAGGGTTTAGGCTTTACAGGGTCCAGCTGCAGGGCTTCGCATTTACAGTGTGACCCTGAACCGTAAATGCCTTGATCTTCAGGCCCGTAGGCTTTCGCTCTACCCTGCGGCTCTGCCTTATGAGGCTTCCCACCCTCATTTGGGGCAATCCAAGCTTCTACTCACGGCCAAGGCTCTGCTCACGGCATGGTAACAGTAGCGAATATACCAGATAACCCAAAAGGCAGCATTCAAGGGAAGAGTGACAGCTGAGGCAAGACCTATGGTGAGCGCTCGTGCGGCGATGATGAATTGTTGGACCTCATGGAGGCCGCCTGGAGCAAGATATCATGTGGCTCATATAGGGTTCCGTGGCTTTTGTGTTGAGGGGCGCAGGCTGAGTTGGATAGATTGCTTCAGAAGTTTGCCTGTCCCCTTTCAGGGGGCTGAGGTATTCGGGAGATGTTGCGGAATCCTCTTCATTTTGATGTGCATGGTGGGGCATGCTTTGCATTGCTAGGAAAACATGCAGGCATTCTGGATGGCTGTAGCTGTCCTTGCACAAGTTGCGGGCATATAACCTTGACTTCGATTTTTCATTGGTCAGGGGCATTTGGCGGAATTAAAGGGGGAAAGGGCAGGTCAACTAACGACACAGCAGAGCTGTTTGGGGACCAGTTTTTGCCAATTCCATTATGAATACCGCATCAACCATGCGCGGTGGGCCGCCCCCATCAAGCTACGAGCTTTGTGGAGATTCGATAAAGAACCTCGTTTTGATAATGATCGTCGTTAATGTAGCCGCGGCCAGCGCGGCACTGATTTATGGGCGTGCTGTCGTAGCGAAAGCAAGCACTATGATTACGCCTGTCCCCGCTGTTCTTCTTTGCGCTCATGTATAGCGCTAATGATGTACCAGCAGAACCCCAAGTCTCACCACTCACCCTAGCCTTGTTTGTGTCCGCACGAGGCCAACGACAACCACTCCGAGGAGCACACGGTCGCGCAGTTCATCGAATTCTGCGTCCTTTGGCACTGACACCAAGGTTTTTCCGGGGAACTATATGAACATCACATTGATACGTGGAGCTTCATGATTCTTTTGTGCTGGCATCAGGATTTGTGGACCCTTTTGGTTGGGTGTCTGGAGGGAGGATAGATGGTGTTGTTGCATGAACGCATTGTAGAACGTAAGGAGCAAGTTAACAACCACCTGGCACGGATATGAGTGTTTCCCAAAATTAGTGGTCCCTTTGGAGGGGTTGCGAATAACAAGGATTGTGTATATCGTGGTCGAAATTAGGGTTCCCCCTATTTATGGAAACTACCATGTGCGGTTTTGGAGCATGTCCTATGCTGGCTTCGTGATGGCAAGACAAGTGCTTGGTTTTCTCTGCCGGGCCCACTTGAAGGGTCAAGGGGACTTAGTAAGTGGGTTTACAATAATGCGGATAAGTAGGGTTATAGGAGTTATTAACCCGCTTACTACGTCCCCTTGACGCTCCAAGTAGTAAGGCAATGTGCAGGATTTCTCAATAGGCAAGTTCTGTTTCGTTGATCCCCAGCGTTGTTTGGAGAAGTGCGTGGTTGCAGTTCGACAAGGCCGCCACTATATCGAATGACAAGAGTTCGGTTAAAGCTCTGGGTATTGTTCTTCGAGGATACACCCATATATATATACATATATGTATATATATATACACCAGTATCCAATTCATTTTCCATTTTGCGTTCCACTTGATTTTCCATTATTGGGATGTATTATCCTACATGTCTGTGGTTGGAGCTGCACATTGATGTGGTCTCACGTGGCACGAGACTCTACAGACCAGCTCTCCCAACAAAAGTGAGCCCTAAACCCCATACCCCTAAAGCGCATGCCGCTATCCTTTGGCTGATTCTCTGTGGTAGCTGGGTGCTTGGTTTAGTTCGAGGCTTGCAGCCCCCAAGGCGTATAATACAACTTTACAGGGTAGCCTCACTCCAAATGTCTTATTGGTGGCTAGTAGGGAATAAGGGACTATAATATATATATGGACTATATAGGGATTCTAGTCCCTCATTCCCTACCAACCACCAGTAAGCTAGAATCCCACTACATGCCATACCGCTTTGTCGCCATAATATACCATAGTAGTTTCCATGTTCTTTCCCATTTTCCCTAAAACCCCAAACCCTAAACCCTATTCCCTAGACCCTAATCCCTAAACCTCATAAACCAGAAAAGGCGCGCTGCACAAAAAAAACTATTAACCCTAATCCATGTGTGGCGCTTCATTGTCGCTTTGTTTCCGTGGCAGGTCCATGGGATCCCATTGTAAGGGGAGGAACTTTGGGTAATATTGGGTTTAGGGTTTAGGGACTATATAGGGGCAATATAATGGAGCATCCCAACCCCAGCATGTAGATATTCTGGTAGGGAAATTTTATTGCAAGGACGTTAATTACTTGCCTATAATTAATGGTAGGGTAAACCTCAAAATATTATAGCCCTTATTATGGGACCCTCAAAAAGGTACCCCTACTTCTGGAAAATCCCCTGATGCTCCCAGGGCTTCTGACAATCAATCTCCAATCCTTGAATGTTCGCCCCGAAACCGGAACGTTGAACTCCTTACTGGTGCTGAAGGGAGAGTGGGGGAGTGGATCCTCATAATAATCCTTATATGATTCCCATAGATCGCCAGATAATAATCCCTATACTCACTCCCCCACTCCCCCTCAAGCACACGTAAGACTCCATGCGAAATGAGTAAAGCGCTTGAGGTGAACGGCCGCACGGGCAAGTCGGGCGAGTGGACCTCGAAGGGAGTCGGCAAGCCACTTCCGATTTGTTTCAGTATGTTTGGGGGCCTTTGTAGCCCTGGGGTATAATGTTTACCTCGCAATAATAAAATAGTCCACCACCCACACTCCTTGTTGAACAATTGGTTGGGAGGGTTTCCCCGCAATAAACGTCCTTGTTTGTTTGGGTGGTTTGGGGTATATATGCTGGTCTCTCTAGTACCAGTACTAGTGCTCGTACTGTTACCAGTACTCGTATTAGTAATAGCATTCGTATTAGTATCAGTATTATTGATAGTATTACAATTAATATCAGTACTAGTCTTAGTCTGAATTCTCCTAAACCTCTGCAAGCTTTAAGGCCCGCTGCACCAGTTGAAGCTTCTAGCTTTATTTAGTTCCGTTTCTTGCTCCTAAATCTGGAAAAATTATGGGAGAATTTTTGTTATTGTAGTTGTTTTTTAAATCATGCTCCAGGCCTTGAATATTGGTATTGTAAGGTGGGTTATTATTGTGAGGTCAACATTATAGGGGGAACGGAAGAGAACATGGAAATTGGTGTTGTTTTTGGATTCAGGGTTTAGGGCTAATGATAACCGCCGAATCCCTAATCAGAAATTTTCCTCGGCTTACACACTAGTATTTGTCAAGGGAAGTCATCATTGGGTGGTGGGGCAGTTCATTATTAGAGAGAAGAGATTCCCATTTATAGGGCGCAGGGCTTCAGATTTAGGGCTAAGGTTTTGGGTGTACAGAGCTTCGGCGTGTTGATGGTTCTCTGGCTGCTTTTTATCACATGCGACAAGAAGGCATGTTGGGATGGCTCATGGTTTAGCTGCCTTGCTCCCGGCATTACGGCTGTAAATCGCGTCGTAGGCATTTAGTTGCACATGTTTGCAGGCATGTGAAGCTGTTCAGGGCTGCAGGTGCAAAAGGGTTCAAGCGGCGTCGCTTGTTTGGCAGTGTTTTTTTCTGGGCACCTGCTTTTCCACGGAGACTGGGCGTCACGTTTGATTCGAGCATGATGGGGCTCTGTATCCTCAATACATACTTCCACAAGACGGCATGTTGGGTTTTTGAATTCTGGATGCAGATGTATGATTGATGTATGTGCAGACAGGGACAGGGCGGAAAATCCTAGACTTTCAGACTAGTAAGCCCAACAAATTGCTGAGAGTATATATATATATATACACATACATGCATATGCTGAGAATCCAAGAGCCCCCCGAGCTGCCTAGGTACCTCGAGGGAGGGAAAGAGGCCGGAGGCCAGCTTGTCGACCAACGCCCCTCGACTCTGCACAGCAAACTGGAATTGCAGGAGAGTGTCATCTAATGGCAACATGAAAACGGCCTGATTGAGATATAGTCCCCCTTAAGTAGATAGAATATGGCTTTGGGTATATGATAATAAGATCCCTATATACCCCAAATTCTATCTACTTAAGGGGGACTATAGGTTTTACAGAGAGGTGGGCCATTGATCTCCTTATTGTACACAGTATTCGCAAAACACAGACTTTGCAGAGATGCTTGGATTGGGGACTCACCCCTAAGGGATAAGTCTTATGTCTGCTCTTCGTTGAAATGCATTTTCTATGTGAGGCCCTTTGTTGACAGCATGAGTCCCGACTTGGCGTCTCACACCCCAAGCACCGAAACCTTAATGGCGCACGAAATACAAGCCTGAATGGCCAACCCGGGTGCAACAAACAATTTTTTTGAAGGACTGGGTAGAGTAATTAGACTCAACAGCGGAACCTTGAACGAAGCCCACTTTGCTGGTCTTACATCTCTGAGGCTTTTGCCCTCGCATTGTAGAGGGCGAACTCCGCTACAATATGGTCTCTCGGCAGCGAGAGTTGGTTTGAAAGCGTGGAGGGCTTGGATGAAGACCTGGCATTGTGTTGCAGGATCTGTGTTGACAGGCTGGTTGCTGCCATGTTGATGGGGTCTTACAATTTCGCTTCGTATTCTGAGATTAAAAGCAGGCATGGGTTCCTGACGGCAGTGCAGAAATGCAGAACTCAGAAATCCGAAGCGCAAGGAAAGACTCGGTAATTTCTCGAAATACGGGGTGCCCCAATATAGACCCCAAGGCACTATAAACCTTGTTATTGGGACCCCCCAAAAGGTACCTTAAATTTTGGGAAATTACTCCTTGTAGCCATGTTCTAGGACACCCCGCAGAGGAGTCAGGGTAAGGTGTTCATGTGCCCTGTACCAAAGCAGGACAAGGCAAGGACAGCCTTACGCATTCCCCGATTTGCTTTGCATCTTTTCTCTTCCTGCCTCAGCCTCAGGTTGAAGCTGCACTAAACCCTAAGCCCTAAAACTGGAACCAGGATGCAGCCCTGGAATCTCAAACCCCAACCCTGAACCCTAAACCTAAATCCTAAACCCTATCTATCACTAGCATATCAGTGCGCAAGCGCGAAAAGCAGAAGTTCCGCAGTGGCAGCGTCAAAGGTGGCTGATACCTTGGTTGGCATCATCCACAAGAAGCCAAAGGAAGGCGGGGATGGGGTTGAGGGTCGAGGGTTTAGGGTTTATGGTTCAGGGTCATAGGTTTTAGGTTTAGGGTTGGGATGGCCTGGGTAGGCAGGGGATGGGGGAATGGAACAGACAATTGCAACTATACACGGCTTACCATGACGGAGCAATCCTGTATCATTATGCCCCATTGAGTTAGTCGATGAAGTAGGCTGGCAGAACGGTTGCCCTCAAAACAGTTTTTTTAGTGTTTTAGGGTTTAGGGTTTGGGCTTAGGGTTTAGGGTTTACCTAATTGAAATGAGAAGCCCGCAGTAAAGCGGCGAACTGCAATATTTGAAGTGTTGCAGGGCAGACTCAGTAGGGGGACAGCCCTTTTTGTTCTCTCTTCCTCAGCTTCACTGATAGTCCTTGCCGTGGCTCCTGCGTCGGCCTCTGGAAAGTGCAACCTACAGTACCATAGGGGCCGATGTCCCTCAATGGGGTTGTACGTGTATTTGAGGTTTAGTTACCTATAGTGGAGATTAATGGGGAAGCAAGTGCCTGCAATCAGCAATTCGGCTAAGCAACGCAAAGCCAGCTATGACCTGTCTACAAACCTGGGTCCCGGTTAAGGGTTCAATGTTTTCGGGATTCCGTAAATCGGGGGCCCCAACCAGGTGTAATCCTCATTCTAGGTAACTACTCCCAAGAGGGACCCCTGGTTCTTAGAAACCAAAACGTGGGAATGTCTCAGGCTCTCATCACCCATTTAACCTGCCTAAGGCGGCCACGCGATATCTATTTGTTCTTTAAATTCTCCAGAGATGGGCCATGCTACGCCTTTCATGTATTTTGGGGGGTGTCCAAAACAGGCGGTTGCATTTTTGGGTTGATTTTTTCACACGAAGGATAATATTTTGAGGTGAGTATACGAGGTACGCTTTCTGAAAAAAATCTAAACCCTAAACCTTGTGGATCCCAGGAGTGATTCATGAAAGAGAGCCGCAGCGGAAAGGTTTACATAAGAAATCCTGAAGGGTACCCGTGTCTCCAGGATCCCTAACATGGGAGCCCCATTTATGGTAGCTTGTCAAAATCTTGGTCTTTAGCATACATAGGGTACCCAAAAAGAGCCAACAGTTTGACAACCCCCCATATGGAGTCCCCTTAGACAGTCCGTACCCTTCCAGCTGGCAAGGTGGAATCAGCGCCGTTGGCGGCACAGGTTCCGTTTACACCTTCTACGGTCCAAAGGCAGTTCTGCAGAAGGTAATATAGAGGGTCGGGTAGGGTAGGGTAGGGTAGGGTAGGGTGTAGGGTCTAGGGTGAACGGTTTGGGGTTTAGGGGCTGAAAAACCTGCCGATAATGCAGAATCAAACGAAAAGTGAGAGGGCAACAGGGCGTATACTTGATAGGGATAACTACCAGTATTGTGACTCTGGGTTCCTTGTATAATTAGGGTATCGGCGAGTTGCCTCAAACAGACCTCAAAATGACACTGGCAATTCCTGGTAACTATTTAGACCCCTACACCATCCCTGCTCCCTTTTGATGTTAGCATGGGGGTCTCTTCGGTGGCCTTCGTGGTAGTTTTTTCGGGCAAGGGATCATAGTGTCGCAGGGGACAATTGGCGGCATGGGGCATGGAAGAGTCTGAACTTCAAAGCGCTTCTCCTCCACCCACAAGAAATTCTCCACGCGCAGCAAATCGGAATGATATAGGAATGATCATTTTGCGGGAGTTGGGTTTTGAGGATGAGAAGATATGGTATTTGCCCAAATAGGGGGACCCCAATATAGACCCCAAATTCGTATAATCCTTACTATGGGGACCCCCAAAAAGGATCCAGATTTCTTCCTTACCGAGCCATGGGCCTGCAAGGTGCCTTGGTACATGTGGCACCTGCAACGTCAGCGCCATTGCGAAATAATTGCTGGGTTGCTGTTAAGGGACCCAACTTAAGTTGCCATAGTATGGATATATATATATAGTAAATAACAGGGTTAGCTTGTAATAGTAGCTCAAGTTAAGTTCCTTAAAAGGAACCCAGTTTATTGATATTACGAGAATCAGATTCATGCCTCGTGTCACCGCTAGCGGGGTACTTACAGCTCGGATCATCATCGGCTTAAGACCACCATGCAGGCAGTTTTTTTTGCAAGCTCCAGTCCTTCTCACCCCCAACATCCCATGTACTGGCCTCAATAAGTACCAATACTATGATCCTAGATTCCTTGTATGATCCTGGTATAGACCTCACAAGGATATTGGTGGTCATTTAGGCTCCAAAGTTAGTTTTTCCCCCCCAGCTTGCTCTTTGTCAGGAGAAGAAATTCGCCAGCTTGACCAAGAGTTTCCTCACTGATGACCTGCGCACCGGCTGTCCAGACAGGTTGTTACTACCGTGGACGAAGGAAATCTTAGACAACTTAGGACCCTCGGAACGTTTTGACCCCTTAGCGTGGGGTATATAACCTTGTACAAGATTGACTCCATCCGCAGTAGTATACGACAGGCTTATTGTCCAGGGTCCAGGTTCTGAGGTCTGGAGCTAAGTCTAGACGGAATGTTGTTATCACTGTTCTGGTGGTAGCTCTTACTATCATATGTTAGGCAAAGCCCAGGACTTAACACGTGGCATATCGCGCACGACAGTGATTCCAAATCAGGTGTCCACTGTGAGTGAGTGCTTACGGGGTTGGTATGTGCATATAGTCCCCCTTACGTAGATAGACTATGGGTATATGGGGATCTTATTATAATGTACCCAAGGCCATATTCTATCTACTTAAGGGGGACTATAGTCTAGGCAGCTTTGACGAGATCCCACGAGAAGTTTCTCTGGTGTGAGTGGTGGTCCTGGTCCTGTAGGTTCGGAGTTTTCGCCCCTTCGCACCCTGGCCAGTGAAGAGGGCCTAGGGTTTAGGAATGGTAGTTTCAATTTTCTTTTTACATTCCTCTACCACTAATTCGTGAAGAATAACCAGCAAGGAACCCTGCACCCTAAACCTACTAACAACTTACTGGTCCTCAGTAGAGCATAAGGTGATATAGTATCCTGGGAAAATATCCGGATGACATAGGAATTCCAGGGATCAGATAATTATAGGAATTATACAGGGAGTATATTCCCGTATTTCCTACTAAGAACCAGTAAGACAACCACAAAGCAAGGTCGAAGATCATGCCATGCTTGGGATTGGAGACCGACCCTTGGCAGGGAAAGCGCAGCTCATGAGGGCTTCAGGGTTTAAGGTTTAGGGTCTCCCATCGCTTTGATCAAGTCCAGCTGAACGCCGGTGGTAGTTTCCATAAATTTGAAAACCCCAATGTCGACCCTGATGCAGTATAACCCTTACTCTGTGGACTCTCAGGAAGGGATACCTAATTTTCAGAAACTCTCAGATATGGTCCCGCAAACAAGTTGGAATTTCCCAGAGGCAATTCTCGGGTTCAGAAGATGCGTGAGCTTTGAAGACGGAGGGAGGGCTTCTACTGCATTAGCTCCCAGACGTTAGCCCCCCCTCTCAAGAAGAAGAGCCTTCGCCGGATGATCCCCCCAATCGGAAATTAAACCCTCACAGCTGCAGAGCTACTGCCTAACAATATTCATTATGCTACCAGCCGGCTTTTAAATTTCGCAATGCATGCACCTTGCAGTTGAGGATTTTGTGGGCTTAGGTTCTGGGTCCATCTAGGTTCCAAGCCCTCACAGATACAACAAAGCCCAGTGCTCCTTCACGGGGAATAGTCAGAGGACGTTGGCCTTGAGATTTTCGGTGCTAAGGCAGAAACGTGAAAACTGCTGCAGGCTTCAGGACTTAAGGCATGAGAAGGAAAGCAACAATTGGTATATGATTGCAGGTTACGTGGCGGCTTCCACAGGGCGCCCTAACCCTAAAACCTGACTCTACTGCTCTGTACAAGGTGCTTTTCCCAAACATGACGCTCATCCTTAATCCAGCACCACATCATAAGTCAAAACCCCAGACCCGACGCTCCAAAAACCTACTTAAGTCCCCAACGCCTAAAACCAATGGGCCCTAAGGCCCAACCCCCTAGACACAGAAAATTTCGGAGTACTGGCAGATGATCCAAGGAGCCGATCCCACTGTGGTGGACCTCGGACTTTATCAACTCGTCCCCTGCGGGCACCGACCCGAAGGCAGGGTGGAGAGGGGCTCGCTTTTTGTGTTCACTCTAAATTCGGGGGAGTTGTTGTCAAGGTTAAGGTCCCTGCTTGGGTTCCCTACATTCCCTACATTTGGGGGGGTCGTATGACAAAGGGGATCCAAAAAAGAAGTCATACGGGCTGGGCCTTTCATGGTGACTTGATGATGGGATCCCAGAGAGTCCCGCGGAACTGTCTCATAAGAATATCAGAGCTGAATCTGGGTTGCTGTTAAGGAACTTAAATTCAGTTACTATATTGGGGAAACCCTATTATTTACTATAATATACCCATTATGGTAACTTAATTTAAGTTCCTTGACAGCAACCCAGGAATTCGCAGTGTTCAGCTCGTTGTGATCTTCCTTTAGCCTTGAGCAAGGCGAGTTCCAATGACTAGGCACATGCCCTGTAACCCACCCAACAAAATCTAGGCTAGTATCCCCCCTAGTAATCTTTATGATACTCCCCCTATTTAATCCCCTACACAACCCTTTAAGGAGTTTCGACTACAGCTCATCGAAAAGACCGACTTCCCGGAGCCAAGCCCAAAGCCATGATCGTGGCCAGGATGAGAAATGGATCGTGGGAGAGTTCAATTGCTCCTGCGTCGGCATCTCGAAGCCAGCATGCACCTCATGAATCTCTGAGCCCAGGAAATCTTGAAGGTATCCATATAATATCATCCCAATACATATCCCCAATATACTATATGATAGTTTCCATTGTCTTTTCCATGAACTATCCCGACTGCATTGCATGAATTCCTGCTCGGATTTTGGCCCTTGAACCCTAATCTCTAGGCTATCTTGCAGAAGCCCAATTTGAGAAGCTTCTTTCCCCAATCCCACTTGGCTATAAATTCAGGCATCGACAGTGAAAAGGAGGGCTGATAAAGTTCCCAGGATTTGGTGCTCACCATTCCCAAAGCCTTCACGAAGAAGGCTTATGAGGAAACAATTTCATCATGGCAATTGGTTTCACATTGGCCCCATATAGCTTCCCTGCAGAACGCGCAAGAATTAGCAAGCATTAGGTTTCAAGAAAACATAATGCCCCGTGAACCTAGATGCGGCGCAGAGCCAAGGAAATGTTTAGTAACATCTAGTAACTCTAAGCCCTGTAGGCCCCATAGTAGCTTCCATGTTCTTTTCTTCTCATTTCATTCTCTACCTGATCGCAGAAAGAATGAAATGTGCAATATCCCGACAAAGGCCCACTTTCTGTATCATTTTCATTTGGCTTTCCATTCCCTAGTCCTAAACTCGACATCGCAATGCGGTCTCCATCTTCTTTCCCACGCCCTGCCTATTATGCAGCCTTGAGAGCCCCTAGAACCCACCTACAAAAGCCTAAGGGCCCATAGGAGGGGCCCATGCTTGAAACCTGAGAGCTAAGGAAATGCCTGCCAGCATGTGTGACACCGGAAGCGCCGCAGGCGTGCCTTGCCGAAGCAAGCTTGGCGCTCTACTTGAGCTATAGTCTAAACTCCTTAGGGGTTTTTATAGCGGGATTATGGAGTGTTTGGGGTTTAGGGTCTATACTCTTTGAAGGGCGGTTATATAGGGAATTTTATAATTAAGTATCATAGGTGCTATTAAGGGAGACACTAGGAGTTCAGACTATGGCTCAGTTGCTGGTTGTTAGGTTTTAGGGTTAAGGCAATGGCCAATCAAATGTAATAAGAAGTGGGAACTGGTGGTTTGTAGGGATATGGTGATTTCCTAAAATTTGGGATACATTTTTCTTTTTTTTTTTGGAGGGGGAGGGGG